TCATAGTACGCGCTCTCTGATTGGTCAAATGTTATTGTTTATTATAGCTATCATAGTACGCGCTCTCTGATTGGTCAAATGTTATTGTTTATTATAGCTATCATAGTACGCGCTCTCTGATTGGTCAAATGTTATTGTTTATTATAGCTATCATAGTACGCGCTCTCTGATTGGTCAAATGTTATTGTTTATTTCATCGGTAAACGCACGGAAGCGAAAATGATATAATGTAAAAGCAATAAACAACACATTTTCGTGCGTTCCTGGTGAAATAAAAAACACTGTTCGAGGTTTTTTACGTCTTTTTCGTGTTTTTCCTCAAAAGATGTTTTTGCAGACAGAAGGTAGATTACAATTTTTTTGTTTTGTTCAAGATATCAATGAATGTATTCGTTGGACCTTTAACTGCAGCGATCCATCCAAAATCTGTGAGAATATTCCTGGTTCTTTCAAGTGCGTTTGTCCACAGGGACTGTTCTTGATCGATAAGAAGTGCAGAGGTAATTCTAACTACACACTAGCGATTTGTTGGTGCGATTTTGKGGATCATTTTGATCTTAGCGAATAAGAAATTTAAAGTATTTAAACTAATTTGAATTAAAAAAATAACTTGTAAAGTTTTATTCAGTGCAATACGTTGAGCTAACCTAATGTCACAAGGATAAGACAAAATCTTTCATATTTCTGAAAATCGCCCGAAAAATCGCACAAAAATCGCCATTATGATACGGCCTCAAATCTCGGGGGGGGACTCCCTAATAAAAAATGGCGGGGGTCCTCGTCGGAAATTCTGAAAATGACCCCTAAAAGGGACATGTGTTGTGAGATGATGGGCGTGGCAGTCTTGAAATTTCACCCCTAAGAGGGGCCAATCAATAACAGGTCATTTTGTTGTTGTTTCCACAAGCAACACCGCCGTYGCCTCGTATTGAGTTTATGACGAAATCCAGTTTAATAGAATTGTGTAATATTTAGCACTCAGGCCAGCGGAGCCAACACCAGCACCAGATAATGCAACAATACCAAAGGAAGCATCTTCAAATGCATTAGAAAACGCTGTTAACATAACCATGACCAACTTAACCTTGTCTAAGGTAAGAACAAAGAACAGGGACCAATGAACATCATAGATATTTACGTCACCATTGTTTGCATTGCAACCAATCCAGATAAAAATTTCATAACTGCAACAGACTGCTGTCGGTCAACTAAAATKGCGGCTTTTGTCTGGTCTAGTCGCGTAGCAATGCAAACGATGGTAGGTAGAGTTGTTGTCTATGAAACTGCTTTCGCTTGACATAACTTTGGGTTTAAAGGTTTTTTTTTTTGAAAACATAAAACCGCTTCTTCCTGTATTCATTAAATTTCATCAAAATCTTCTCTTCGTTCTTTTCTTTCACTTGAAAAATTGTTGAATATCTTCACGTGTTAATGGCTGGTTTTCTAATTGTAAACGTTACGACTTTAATTTTTTGGACTCAGGTATTGGATACAGTTATTGAACGATCCAAAAATTGATATACTGCGATATGCTTTTGATTTAACATCATCACTTTTTTTTTCTTATTTGTAGTGGAACAAACCAAAAGAGGTTGCTTTGAAACAGGTCGTAGCCGAGGGTGTGACACAGTACTGTGAAGCAATTGGAGGCTGTCATCCAAAAGATAAACGTCTTAGGCACGTTTTATCGAAATAGCTAATTTCTAATGAAWATATATATAGCAATTAGATTTCGCTTATCGTTAATCTTGTGTAACTTTTTTTTTTCTTTTACAGGCGTGACCTAAGCTTTGTTCACTATCGAGAAGATCAARTACATATCGTTCCTGGGTTTCCACGACAGTTAGTCTCGGCCCAGTACCCRGCGTCTCTTCTTGTTGCTCGTATTGCCCTGTACGTCAACTTTCCAGCGGGCGTGGTCGTTACGTCCAATAACACCATAAGTAAAGAAAATCTTGTCAAAGCATTGAATGCCTCACGGAGTAAAATCGAGAARTCRCTGGGCGTTAGAATAATCTTACTAACACAGTACCAGGACGAGACAACGCCGCCAACCATACGAACTGTGAAAACAGAAGAGAATAATATCAACAATATCATCATTGGAGTTTCTGTGGCAGTTGGTTTGATACTTCTTATTATATTGCTTATTATTATTTTCATGTAAGTATACAAGCAGTATATGAAATTCATTGATAGTTTTTGATGGTACATGTTGTTGAAATACTACATTGCACTGCGAAAGAAATTAGCATTCCAGTTTATAGATTCCAACGACATCATGAAAGTGAAGCATACCGAATTTGCATTATCTTAATTTTGTTGTTGTTGATGTTGTTGTTGTTGTTGTCGTCGTTGTTGTTGTTGTTGTTATTGTTGTTGCTGTTGTTGTTGTTGTTGTTGCAAAATGTGCTTTAGTTTATGTTGGAACTTGATAAGCAATATAACATATTTGCGTTCATCAGCAGCTCGTAGTATTAAATGTCTCGGCCCGCATATATTTTATAAATTTCTTAAAATGTATTGATATATACCCATTCTTTCCATCTTTCCGTTTTTTCACATCCACAATGCAGTATTTTCAGCTGATATTTGAATTAATTGATGTTTTGCAGCTTATGTCGAAGAAGGCGTAAACGYTTGCCAATTGAAGAAAGACAAAGCTCGACAAGGAGACACAAYAGTGAAGACGTCGTTACTGATATCAACGTAGGAATGAGAACGGCGCAGTACAAATACGAAGAGTCAGTTGATGATGAAGTCTTTGTCAGACAACCTGCATACAGGCAAAGACGATGGTCATGGTCAAATTTGGGCCAATAAACTGTGCATGCGCACTACGCGCGATACTCAAGAGCACTATGGGGAAACAGCTAAGATAGAAAGTAGCTGCACATAGTACAGAGAAAACTCTCTTAGACTTCCACCACCACAATTATTCGCAAAATTATATAATAATAATATAATTCAAATTACAATAAATAATATTCTTCACATTCAAATTACAAATAAATAGTAAACAGCATAACTGCAAGAATTAAGGTTTTCAGTCAAGGAAATACTAGCTTTTGATAGATATGTAGAGGATATTACATGGGCTACCCGATATCTTATTTTAGAGTGTTGAAGATCTCTCGCAAGTGAGCGTATCTATGAAAGCAAGTTATGTTTGAAAATAACTTTTTTTTTTAAAGCAAGATATAGAGATGCCACACGAATGTGTGTCATTTTCAGTGAAAATAACAATTTAACGAAATTGAGAAATATAAGTAATCATAAATAATTATATGACAAAAATAGGATATTACACATGCAGCGAAAAATTTAGAAACCGCCAATTATGCAACTTGTCTCAGTAAAAGAATTGAAAAACTGTTTTTTGATTTTGTGAGAGAGGATCATTGTCAGAAGGAATAGCATTAAACGGCATCTTCCACAGTCAACATGGCGCACTAAACGGCATCTTCCACAGTCAACATGGCGCATTAAACGGCATCTTCCACAGTCAACATGGCGCATTAAACGGCATCTTCCACAGTCAACATGGCGCATTAAACGGCATCTTCCACAGTCAACATGGCGCATTAAACGGCATCTTCCACAGTCAACATGGCGCATTAAACGGCATCTTCCACAGTCAACATGGCGCATTAAACGGCATCTTCCACAGTCAACATGGCGCATTAAACGGCATCTTCCACAGTCAACATGGCGCATTAAACGGCATCTTCCACAGTCAACATGGCGCATTAAACGGCATCTTCCACAGTCAACATGGCGCATTAAACGGCATCTTCCACAGTCAACATGGCGCATTAAACGGCATCTTCCAACCCAGTCAACATGGCGGATTAAACGGCATCTTCCACAATCAACATGGCGCAGTATTTTGTATTCTTTTCTTTTCTTTAATTTTCATTTATTTTATTTTCTTATCTTTCTTTTTTTTTCCGTAAAGTCCATTCATTCATCCAATTTATTCTAAAGAACTTCCATACAAGAGATCATTTGAGCACCCAAAATAGCATCATTCATCATGCTACCATCGTGTCTACGTAGACTTCTGCATAACCTTCGGCATACTTTTGAAATGCGTACGGAAAACGCCATTAGTCCTCATAAGCCCTCAAATGTAGGCTTTCATTTTCCMCTTTTGCATACAAATATTTTAGTAAACAAATTACCCCAGACATTATGTGTCGCTCTCAATGACATTTTTTCCTAAGAAATTAAATGTGTGAAAGTTGAGTGTAACCATAGAAACCAGTCTCTTAAACGACCTCGTGACAATAGTTTTGGGTACACCACATATTTCTTTAAGCCTCGCTCCTATGAAAAGTGCCGGTATCCGAGCATGACTGGTTCCCGGGCGCCAAGTGTGAACAATGTCTAAGTAATAATTCCTTATAAGGAAATCACTGCTGAAAAGGAAAATCATTCAGCAGTTTCACTTGTTGTGGTGTACTTTAAATCGGAATCAGCGCACGGAGGACAGCATGATTTTTGTAGGTGTAATTCTCTGTTTGGTTATCGTTGTGGATTCTAGTCCTTTGGTCAATCCTSGTGGTGCAGGTTAGTTGATAAAATAGTATGGTCACGTGATGTCTCATTTGATCTCTAAACCTTGGGATAAACTTTAATATGGAAAAAATCGCGCCCTTTAAAGTTTGTAAATTTGATGTAAATATGATGTAAGTGTCCAAAATTCTGTAGAATTTAATGGAAATCATTTGCATCAAATTTTTAGAATTTTGGACACTTTTACATCATGTTTACATCAAATCTTTTAAAGCGCGCGATTTTTTCCAGTGATCTATGCTAAACATTGTAACAAAAACTCTCTACTTTGGAAGGGGTGCCGTAACCTCGCAACTCATGATCAGCAGTGACAATTTGCAATTAACCATAAAAATATTATAAAAAGACGAATACACAATTAAGAATATTTTTATAAAGTGATTTCACGCTGTTGCGGCATATTGTCGTTGAAGTACTTTCAAACTTGACCACGTTTTGCTAAACCACACCACGTTACATTGTAACCGTGATGACCTAGTGGCGGATCAAGGATTTTTTTAAACTGGGTCCAGATTTTCCGCTTCTTTGCTTTATATATATGAGTGCTGTTCAATATGCAGATCATAAAACTTGACTTATGCAAGTTACATAAAAAGCTGTACAGCTGACCCTTGGATCTTCCACTGTGACCATGTAAGCTTATTGTTATTTGTTAATTTGCAGTCTTTCAGTGGCGTCTCTATTGTTTTAACTCAGTTTTTCGCTTTTATCATCAGCCAAGACTGATTAAGTGATTGACGCTCTTTGATAGCTTTAAATCACCAACTGACCGTTTTTCAAGTTAATTCTCTTAGAAGTTCTCCATATACACTTTTCTCTGACAGCCACCGTGGATTCCCTATTGGGTATAGATTGTGAACTACCGCATTGTTAAAGTGGAATAATCTTGATTTGCATAACTAAAGCAAACCAGACGATTTTTCCGTTTCAGATGACGACAAACAGGATGGAATCCTCGACACAATCATAAAAGTCAATAAAGGTAATTTTCGCTTTATATCAATAACGACGTGGCATCATGCCTTTTTCTTGTYTTTAAGTGTTAATTATTTCATCATTATGAAACAATGGATGGACGAGTYTGAGTAAACTTTGCATAATCATGCAGTCCTTGATAGCTCAATTTTGTGTGACTGCAGCTGAATAGCGGGCTCACGATCTTGATTATACGGATCGGGATGAAACTCGAAAATCAAAATCCGTATCTCTACGCGCGCCTTTTTGTAAAGTTTTAACATTTTTTTAAATTGTTTTTTTAATGAATTTTAAATTTTTCTGAGTTTCCCGTGTTGACTGGCGCTAGCTGTGGTTTCAGTTGACTGATACACTGTCCTGTAGTGAAAGCTAGTTCTCAATCACCAGGGAAAATTTTCAAAGAGAATATTAACATAATGTCTTTATTTGTTCTTTACAGACAACGATGTCATCAACTTGTATGAAGGAGATATTGCATTATCTCTTCGCGACAATGTCGATCTACGTGAAACAGGCGATGTAGACGGGCCACTCCCTGGTTCTCAAATAGCTAAGAAAAATGCTGTTAGATCAAGAGAAGTACTTTGGAAAAACAAAATAGTACCCTATGAAATCCAAGTCCGTATGTATAACATGAGCAATTTTCACTGGAAAAAAAATCGCGCCCTTTAAAGGTCGTAAGATTTTGATGTAAATTTGATGTAAGTGTCCAAAATTCTGTAAATTTCATGTAAATGATTTCCCTTAAATTTACAGAAATTTGAACAGTTACATCAAATTTACATCAAATKTACATCAAATTTACAACCTTTAAAGCGCGCGATTTTTTCCAGTGTTTGAACTTATTCAAACTTCATCCTTAAACCTATCTGCTCTCACGCYCTCGTTTWATCTCTTGCTATATACGAAAATAAATACCAGTGAAAATTTAAATAAAAGAAGAACGACGATAAATTAATCCGTTTTCATTGTATGTGAACTCACCCAGTAAGTTTCCTTGCTAATGGCCTTGCACTTGACGTCTCTCTTTGCTTCGCGCAATGAAGAGGATAGATTATTTTGTCAGTTTAATGCAGACAATATAAAGCAATGTTTTCTTTTAGCCGCCGACTACAAGCCGACTATAAACGCTGCTATTGATGAGTTTCACAAGAAAACATGCATTCGATTTGTACCTCGTACCAATGAAAAACATTGGATCAGGTTCATTCAAAGTCGAGGGTGAGTTACTTTGATGTTATAGAGAGAAATATGTGTGTAATATGTGAGAGCCCCGCACCCCTACCTGAAGAAAATCCTGGATCCGCCCCTGCCCCTAATGATGAATCCAGGACACACACCTGATATACCTATTCCTTAGTAATTTAAGATAAAGATTTGTATGGTATATAGGTGCTGGTCGTCTGTTGGTATGAAATACTGGCAAGTAAATAAAGGMCAGGATTTATCGCTTGGTCGGGGTTGTAATCATAAGGGAATCATTATGCATGAGCTACTACACGCCTTGGGGTTTTGGCACGAACAATCACGACCTGATAGGAATCAATACGTTGAGGTTTTGTGGGAAAATATCAGAGCAGGTAAGTTATATGTCATTTCCATGTATGGCGTGTTGAAAATCATCGTGAGCAAAGGGAGATTGAAAAAGTGTAGTGAATCCATGTTGCAGGAAGCTTTTAGTGCTACACGCATATTATATTATGTATTGTGGAATGCATGTTTATTTATACAAAAAAGGGTTTTATCGCTCACTCGTACGTTTATGTTTCATCATTGAGAAAGAAGCAATCTTTTTCTGTCATACCTGTCTAAAAGTATGCACGATGATTGGCTTACTAAAGAACCAATCAGATGACAGTATTCCTTTTCTCTTKATTTCCAGGCAGAGAACACAATTTTAACAAGTACAGCCACGGTAGAATCGATACTTTAAAGAGAGCATATGATATGAATAGTATCATGCACTATGGAAACAAAGCGTTCTCCAAGAATGGCAAACCTACACTGCTTGGCATTGGACAAAATAAAAATAAAAAACTTGGTCAGCGGAATGGCTTCACAGCGACGGACATCTTTGAAGTCMATGCCTTATATGACTGCAAAGGTATCACTATAAAATGTCTTAATAACCTACATATATCACAAATCCTGCATTCTCACTTAACTCAAATTATTGGTGATAAAGCGAGTTTATAATTTTTTTCAAAATACGCTATTACAATTGGGCACTAAATTGGACGCCTTAATCTGTGAAATKAGTACATTTGTAATTAGCACATTAGTAAAAAGTTCATTAGTACTACAAAAAGTACTAATTACTACTGAAATATAGCCTGCACAGAGTCCCTCCACAGGGATCCCAAGAGCGCCGATAAGCAGGCCATACTGAATAATATTCCAAGAAAACACAGAAATTACCATTATTTCACGGATTTAGTCCATCGGCTCTATTTGTTTAGCAGTGACAGTATTTTACGCCTTTTATTGTTCGTACTCTACGCCACTGCATGATAGTGATAATCTATATTAGTAGTATTGATAATGATGAACAACGATGTACTTATGAAGCACTGGTTCAAGGTTAAAAAAAAATAAGTATTATTGAAAATGATAATTGGTGATGATGCAATACCATAGCACTCGATAATGATGCGTTAACAACTATCTCAGGTTCGTCGTCCAAAGGYTGGAGTTCATGGAGCGGCTATGGACCATGTTACAGCAATTGTAARAAAATACGTCAAAGATTCTGTACTTCTATTAATAAGACCGAGTGTCCTGGTGCTAACAAACATGGTATACAGAATCAATATAAAGTTTGTCCTGCTTCTGAATGCTATGGTAAGGTACTKGGATTTATGAATTCTTTCTAGAATTCGTTTGAAGTTGCCTTTTAGGTGATAAGCTCAATCACTTTTCATCTTAAGCTGAATTTTATAATGTAAAATGTACAATCATAGCTTCTATCAATATACTTCTGTTATCATAATACGGGTGATCAGGAACAGGTCGAAATAAAGTCGACAAAAGACAGAGCGAAAGAATTTCTTTCGCCGTCCTCAATTTTAATACTTTCATCCTCAATTTTAATACTTTAAAAAAACCCTTCTTCCTTTTAACCGAATTGTTCGCGAACGGAGCATGTGGATGAAGGCACAAAAAGAAATGCCAAAAAAGGAAAATTAAAAGAAATGAGAGAGGAAAAGGAGAAAAGACAATAAAAATGCCAAAAAGAAAGAGAAAGGAGAGAGTAAAGCAGTGCTATGTCACTATTCTGCATACATCACTAGCCCCTGTTGATGGCCATTGGGGAAGATGGTCTTCATGGAGCCAATGYAGTGTAACTTGTGGCAGCGGTAGTCATACAAGAACACGACTGTGTAATGATCCTCAACCCAAGAATGGAGGTAAAGCTTGTGTCGGAAGCAACAAAGGGACGGGAAAATGTGAACAACGAAGGTGTGGACTAGGTGCGTAGTTGAAATTATTTCACTAATAAAAAATATATATTTTAATTTAAATTCATGAGAACCATATTGACTGCATCTATATACAATAAGCCTTTGTCCACTTTGTTTTGTTGATGTAATTCTTATACWTGCAGTCATTTGCAAAACTTCTGACCACAAACATACAACATCATAAATAGTGCATTATGGGTAATTCAATCAAATTTTTTATTATTTTTTCTCTCTAAATTAGCTTGCAAATCCATCAAACTGGTTGTTAATTTACTTATTCAGCCTAAATAAAACATTCTGTACAGTTAAATGACAAAGGCTTTACTTTGAAATATCCGCAAGTCTATATTTGATATTTTGATATTTTTTAGCAGTCAGAATTCCTTATCGCTGTATTCCAGGAAGAGAATATAAATAAGATTAAAATCAATAAGGAGTGTAGTGAATTCTAATAAATACCAATTAAAACGTCTTCTTCATCAGCACCAACCATACCGTTTTGTTTCTAGGTCGTGATGAYTGCGAGTTTGAAGTAGATGCGTGYATGTGGTCTCAAGAAAATCCCAGAAACGCTTACCGATGGTATCGCCAATCAGGAAAAACGACCAGCCAAGATACAGGACCGAATGGCGATGTTTCAATCAACAAAGGCGGTAAAGGTATTTAAACTTGACGAACAAATTGAAATACTTTCCTGGCCATGTCTTATTATACTTTGATAGTATTTTCATTGTCAACTAAGGTTAGTTCACTAGTTAATTATGCCTAACGGGAATGCCCACCGCGTTTGTAATAGTCTTAAAAATTAATGACGTCAAYTTTATTTGACGAAGTGCATCATGGTTATGATGAAGTATCAAGATGGCGGGTATCAAAAARTCTATGTAGGACGAAGYTGTCGTTAACAGTTTTCAAAAACATTTGATTAAGATGGCTGCAATGCGTAAAGMGCTAGACAGACARGCATGACTTCAGGAGTACTTTCGAGAATTCCATTGAACACGCAAGCGACACGATATTTATACAAYGACCACTTCTCACTTCTTTGCTTGTTCAAATCTATGTGTTTTGTGCGTGTTKTTTATTTAAGGAACGTTATTGTTTAGGGATTTAYGTCTATGCCGAGGCTTCATCTCCGGTTAAGGCAGGTCAAGTCGCCAAGCTCCAAAGTAAAGTGTTACCCTCTGTTCCTAATGGACGGTGTATTCAGTTTGCCTATAGTATGTATGGATCTGGTATTGGAGCTTTGAATGTCTATGTCATTGAYGCTAAGAATGGAGCAAAGTCAAAGATATTTTCAAAGTCAGGTGATCAAGGACAAGGATGGCGTAAAACTAATGCAACTATTGACAGTATGCATGACTATAAGGTAMTAAATCAAACAAGACTCTGTGGTCATTTATTATGATTTGAAATGATGGTCGTTCTTTAGGSGTTAAAATTTGCAAAACCGCGACAAATTTGAAACTCGAGTTCAACATTATTTGTGAATAATAAATAATAATAATATGGTTAAATAATATGGTTATTATTTAATTGAGTTCAGTGGTTTTCAAAAACAAAATGTAATGATATAAAGCACACCGAGGATAAGACAAGGAAGACCGTGCGAAATGATAAAGAGTACAATAAACACAT